TGACACTTGATCGTTTTTAACATTGTGATCTCTCTTTTTACTCGTTTACCTTTGTTTTTTAAGAAGTTATTCTTCAATAAAAAAGCCATGTTAACTGTTACTTCTGGTGTTGTATAAAAAAGGATTGAGATAGACTCAAAAATTTTATATTTTTTGTACATAGTCTAAAACTTCAATTATGAAGAATATATCCTGAGTCATTACAGAAATTGTGTTAATATGCAAATAAGTAGGATAACTCGAAATTACCACCAGAGGGCCTGAAGCAGTTAAAGAATGGATAAGGACAGTATGGTGAGAAGAATTCTTCATGTTTTTAATGTAAAGTGTCAGAACCTACAACAGAAGGCTGACACTTGATCGTTTTTAACATTGTGATCTCTCTTTTTACTCGTTTACCTTTGTTTTTTAAGAAGTTATTCTTCAATAAAAAAGCCATGTTAACTGTTACTTCTGGTGTTGTATAAAAAAGGATTGAGATAGACTCAAAAATTTTATATTTTTTGTACATAGTCTAAAACTTCAATTATGAAGAATATATCCTGAGTCATTACAGAAATTGTAGAAATAACTATCTTTACAGATTCCTACTCGTCTACGCAAGCCATTCACAACCTCCAGTGGCGTTCACCTATAGTCCACGATATCTTGCTGGAATTGGCCAAAGACATCAACAGGTATGCCATCATTTGGGTCAAGGGTCATGCTGGTGTTTCTGGAAACGAGCGGGCTGACCAACTTGCCCGCACGGCTTCTGAACTAGAAAGTGAACCAAGCTATAATGGCACTCCCCAATGTCACATCTTAAGTCAAACAAAAGAAAATGCATTTGCTATCTGGCAAAGACAATGGGAGGAGCATAGCGAATGTCTTACAAAGGAGTTTTTTCCCAAGGTTTCAGATTCTACTCTTCCAATCATTGACCAAAAATTGGTCCAATTCTATACTGGACATGGGAAGTTCAACCAATATCTTCACAGGTTTGGCAAATCGGAAAACTCACTGTGCGAAATTTGTAACGAAACAGATGGAGTAAAACACTATCTATTTAAATGCCCTATGTTGGACGATAAGCGTTTTACCATCACCACTCTACTTCCGCGAGAAGAAAATTGGCCTTGCAGCCTTGACATACTTGTCAAAGACAAAAACTGTTTTGTGGCATTTAAAGAACTAGTATATACTTATTTCAACAGAACTACCGTTAATTAGGTCAATTTGTCTCAATGGACTGATGTTTTCTCGAATGTGTTTATCATTGATATAATATTTTGTATTATAATATTCTATGTTCATTTGTTAATAATACTCGATGTATGTTACCACGTATTTATGTAATCAACTCCTATGCAAATTTTTATGTAAGTATTTGGTTACTCTGCAGTCAATAATTTGCAAAGTACTCTAAAATAATTTGCACTAAACTCTAAAACATATAGTTGTAATCTAACATATTCTTGTTATGTAACCTGTTTTACATG